AAGCAAATATTGGCACATGTGACAGCTCTAGACGTCATGTTGGACTAAGAAAAGGTAACGGAGATCTAAATTTCATAAATTTTTTGCATTCTCAGCATAACCTCTACCAGCCGGAACTACAATGATGCCTATACTTTAATCGTGGAGAAGGATTTTTTAATCTGTTGCCTTTAATTATGTTTATTTTGCTTTGGAAAATAATCGCGTTCGATCGATAAAACAGACGACTTTAAGATCGCCTTAATATAAAATCATAAGCATAAATTGAATATGAATATTTGAAAATTTCAAATTTTTTTTAATACATATGAATTATAAAGTGTTCATACATATGAATTATTGTAATAAATTGAATTTGCTAATAAATTTTTTTAAATAGGAATTTGATAGTTAAATGTAGATTTAATTGAAGTTTTGTAGCGAATTTGATAGATCTGCATTGTTATTGAATTTATATTGGTGCCCTTATAGTACAGCATAGTCTTTAGATAATCTTTAATACAAATTTGATTCTAATACCAGCTAATATTGATTATAACTTTAGGGCAAAACTAAAATAAAATAAACAATATTGAATAACACTAAACTGATAGATACTAAATAACGCATGTATACACATATTGTAAAGTATCCTTAGCACTCTTATTAGCAAATAATATTATTTATTTTTCTAAATATTCATTTATAATATTAATTTTTTTTTTTCTTTTTTATTTTTTATTTGGTTCAATAATGAATTCTTTGTTTCGTTATACGTGTACTATTTGTTTTTAATAAATCTGTAATAAAAATTTTAGTCGCAATTTTAAATTATTCGTCACAAATTACTGTCAAAAATTTTAGTGCAAAATCTATCTTTTTATGTAATTTTTATGTATTGAATATAAATTTAGCGTAATACCAGTGCAATTTTTATTCATCAAACACAATATAAAATTTGTATAGTTATAGAACAATTTAATTGAATGTAAAGATAGTACTTGAACAGAAAACATTAATCAAATGTGTGGCACCGAAAAAGTTTAGACTTACAAGAGAACTTCGCGAAATGAGAAATTCTGATTTTAATAAAATTTGGTACACTTTGAGGTTACATAAATAGATGAATTTAAAAATTATCAGTTGGTGCTAAAAAAACTGTTTAAAGAAATGAAACCATCTTTATATGTAAATTAATTTTTTTTCGTTAAATCTAAAAAATTATTAAAGATATCAAAAAATGCTTTATACAAAAGTTTTACAATAAAATTACCTCTATTAATTTACGTTAATAGAATTTTTAAAAATAATTATTTTCAAAAAGTTTCAAAAATTTTTTTAAAATATAATTATTCTAAAAATATATTATTAACGTAAGTGAATAGAAATAATTTTACTGTAAAACTTTTGTATACATTTTTTTATATATTGAATAGTTTTTCATATAACAAAAAAAATTAAATATTGTTTAACTTTTAAAGGATAATTTTAAAATCGTTTCTTCATTGCAACTAATTTTGTAATATTCTGTCATTTGTTTACGTAACCCATGTGTATAAAATTTCATTAAAATCATAACTTGACACTTTTGTTATTATTAAAACTAGTTGTATATTCACACATATCGGTCAGAAATTGTTTTATTTTTTTTACGAAATATTATTTCAACACCACCTTGCGGTAGATAGCGTTTTGTTTATAATGATTTCTCTAATAAGCTTCGATCAATCGATCTAGTCGGCGCTTCATGACTGAAGAACGTGATCTCTATGTTGACGAGGTTGTAAGGTGGTGTACAACCTGCCTCCACTGATTTCTATCGGTGGCCATCCTCATTGCTGTATAGAACTTAGAATTTCCATCCTCTTTTATTTGGTCGGCCCATCTGCTGGGGGATCGACCTCGTGGCCTCTTGCTCTCTACACTGCCAGTGAGGACTAGTTTCTCGAGGTTTTCGTCACCTCGTCTGACTACATGGCCGAAGTATAGTATTCTCTTCCGACATGTAACGGACAATCGTTCTTTTATTCCAACTTCTTTGAGGATGGATATGTTTGTACGTTTGGCCGTCCACAGCACCCGCAGCATTC